TGTTAGCTGTAGTCTGATACGGGGCAGGGTATTATATGGGCGGTATGTTAGCTGTAGTCTGATACGGGGCAGTGTATCCTATGGGCGATATGTTAGCTGTAGTCTGATACGGGGCAGTGTATTATATGGGCGGTATGTTAGCTGTATGTCAGACCCGGGGCAGTGTATCCTATGGGCGGTATGTTAGCTGTAGTCTGATACGGGGCAGTGTATCCTATGGGTGATAAGTTAGCTGTGGTCTGATACGGGGCAGTGTATCCTATGGGTTATATGTTAGCTGTAGTCTGATACGGGCAGTGTATTATATGGGCAATATGTTAGCTGTAGTCTGATACGGGGCATGGTATCCTATGGGCTATATGTTAGCTGTAGTCTGATACGGGGCAGTGTATCCTATGGGTTATATGTTAGCTGTAGTCTGATACGGGGCAGTGTATTATATGGGTGATATGTTAGCTGTAGTCTGATACGGGGCAGTGTATTATATGGGCAATATGTTAGCTGTAGTCTGATACGGGGCATGGTATCCTATGGGTGATATGTTAGCTGTAGTCTGATACGGGGCAGTGTATTATATGGGCAATATGTTAGCTGTAGTCTGATACGGGGCATGGTATCCTATGGGCGATATGTTAGCTGTAGTCTGATACGGGGCAGTGTATTATATGGGCAATATGTTAGCTGTAGTCTGATACGAGGCAGGGTATCCTATGGGCGATATGTTAGCTGTAGTCTGATACGGGGCAGTGTATTATATGGGCAATATGTTAGCTGTAGTCTGATACGGGGCAGTGTATTATATGGGCAATATGTTAGCTGTAGTCTGATACGGGGCAGTGTATTATATGGGCAATATGTTAGCTGTAGTCTGATACGGGGCAGTGTATTATATGGGCAATATGTTAGCTGTAGTCTGATACGGGGCATGGTATCCTATGGGCTATATGTTAGCTGTAGTCTGATACGGGGCAGTGTATTATATGGGTGATATGTTAGCTGTAGTCTGATACGAGGCAGGGTATCCTATGGGCGATATGTTAGCTGTAGTCTGATACGGGGCAGTGTATTATATCGGCAATATGTTAGCTGTAGTCTGATACGAGGCAGGGTATCCTATGGGCGATATGTTAGCTGTAGTCTGATACGGGGCAGTGTATTATATAGGCAATATGTTAGCTGTAGTCTGATACGGGGCAGTGTATTATATGGGCAATATGTTAGCTGTAGTCTGATACGGGGCAGTGTATTATATGGGCAATATGTTAGCTGTAGTCTGATACGGGGCAGTGTATTATATGGGCAATATGTTAGCTGTAGTCTGATACGGGGCATGGTATCCTATGGGCTATATGTTAGCTGTAGTCTGATACGGGGCAGTGTATTATATGGGCTATATGTTAGCTGTAGTCTGATACGGGGCATGGTATCCTATGGGCTATATGTTAGCTGTAGTCTGATACGGGGCAGTGTATTATATGGGTGATATGTTAGCTGTAGTCTGGCCCGGGGCAGTGTATCCTATGGGCGGTATGTTAGCTGTATGTCAGGCCCGGGGCAGTGTATCCTATGGGCGGTATGTTAGCTGTATGTCTGGCCCGGGGCAGTGTATCCTATGGGCGGTATGTTAGCTGTAGTCTGGCCCGGGGCAGTGTATTTCATCGGTCCTTGACATCTGTACTTTCCGGCTTTATTTGGTTGATTGTGTGTACAAATGTACGTCCAATAAAAACCCTTACCTTTACGACCCGAGTTACGCAGGGTTAGAAGCAGCACTTGAGTTTGATCGCTGTTTATTCTAGACACGCACGGCGCCATAAAAACCAGTCGTCGTACGGTGCCATAAAAAGTGAATCAACATTGATTTAAATTCGCTCTTTATTTTGGGCGTCTCTTCTGATTGTTGCCTACACACGCACACAGCCGGCACATAAAACCCCAGTCACGAGTCACATGTTACTAGATCCAAGAGTCGTCAGCCCTCCACACGACCGTCTTCCAGTAACTAGCATACACGTATTCTATCTGGTATAATTTGATGTGATCCGCTATGTCCCACACGACCGTTTTCCAGTTGGAAAAACTAGCATACACGTATTCTATCTGTTATAATTTGATGTGATCCGCTATGTCCCACACGACCGTTTTCCAGTTGGAAAAACTAGCATACACGTATTCTATCTGGTATAATTTGATGTGATCCGCTATGCCCCACACGACATTTTTTCAAGTTAAAAACAATCAGCATAAAAATATTCTATTTGATGTAATCCGCGGTGCCCTTGATAATGGTAAAGATAATGGTTAATTCACAAAACCTGCACATTTGACTGTCGTTAATATAGGCAACTACGGCGCAACTCTAGTGACAATGTGTTTTGAATTTGTCGATAGTGTATAATTCATTGATGCGCGTACCTTGAGAATTACACTGAATAAGTGGTACACTTGTAGACGAATTAGAAAGTTCTGGTAAAAGACGCGGATGATGTAGGGAGGAATGTTAACAGACGTGGCTGGCACGAGCCGACTATCTGCGCAGACATGCTCTTGTGTCCATGTTGGCGCACGTGTCGTGCTAGTCGTCTGCAGGTTATCGTGGCAGGTATCTGTGGCAGGCGTCACGTCATTTTTGTCTGGTGGATAGTGGGGTGTAACAACAGGATCACTTCATTTTTGTCTGGTGGATAGTGGGGTGTAACAACAGGATCACGTCATTTTTGTCTGGTGGATAGTGGGGTGTAACAACAGGATCACGTCATTTTTGTCTGGTGGATAGTGGGGTGTAACAACAGGATCACGTCATTTTTGTCTGGTGGATAGTGGGGTGTAACAACAGGATCACGTCATTTTTGTCTGGTGGATAGTGGGGTGTAACAACAGGATCACGTCATTTTTGTCTGGTGGATAGTGGGGTGTAACAACAGGATCACGTCATTTTTGTCTGGTGGATAGTGGGGTGTAACAACAGGATCACGTCATTTTTGTCTGGTGGATAGAGGGGTGTAACAACAGGATCACGTCATTTTTGACTGGTGGATAGTGGGGTGTAACAACAGGATCACGTCATTTTTGTCTGGTGGATAGTGGGGTGTAACAACAGGATCACGTCATTTTTGTCTGGTGGATAGTGGGGTGTAACAACAGGATCACGTCATTTTTGTATGGTGGATAGTGGGGTGTAACAACAAGATCACGTCATTTTTGTCTGGTGGATAGTGGGGTGTAACAACAGGATCACGTCATTTTTGTCTGGTGGATAGAGGGGTGTAACAACAGGATCACGTCATTTTTGTCTGGTGGATAGTGTGGTGTAACAACAAGATCACGTCATTTTTGTCTATGAATAGAGGGGTGTAACCACAAGATCACGTCATTTTTGTCTGGTGGATAGTGGGGTGTAACAACAGGATCACGTCATTTTTGTCTGGTGGATAGTGGGGTGTAACATTTTTGTCTGGTGGATAGTGGGGTGTAACATTTTTGTCTGGTGGATAGAGGGGTGTAACATTTTTGTCTGGTGGATAGAGGGGTGTACCATTTTTTGTCTGGTGGATAGAGGGGTGTAACATTTTTGTCTGGTGGATAGTGGGGTGCTTACTAATGATGAAAATACACTGACAAAATGTGATCGCAATTTGAATACATTTATGTAAACAAAACACACCCACACAACTAATGCAGCGTTATCAGCGCACACCGAATTATTTTTATCTACTTTAACCAGTATTCCCTCCCCCGGAGAAACATGTCTGATTTAAACATCTTTAGTCCTAGTTTTGACTCCACATCAGCTGTTAAAAAGCTAGTGTGTTCACTTTAAAAGTGTCCTTGTCTAACATAAAGCCTGACGATCGTATTTATTCCTATTAAATTAGTGCGAATGTGTAATGTTGGAATGTTGTGGGAGTAAACGATTACATCTTTCAGAAGACCCGCATGTTTCCCCTTACTACGCAGATCTTTCTCTGGCCCAAATTTTTTTACGGTGATTAAACTTTTTATTTCGTTATTCGCCATCGATTTTGGCCAACCGTCAGGATTGCGACATCCCTGCCCGAGTGAGTCAAGCCGTTACTCAAGCAGGGTGATGTCCGGTTACAGAGTCACGGCGTGGAGCTGACCCTGGAGCAGGGGTGCCGCTGTACACAACACAACAATGGCCGATCTATTTCTTAGTGTCAAGTAGCGTGGGAAATACGGCGCTATGTCTGCTGGCAGTCGTCAGCGACTTCTTACCCATTCAAGTATCGATATCACTCACCGTCTCACAGGATCGAATAATTTATATGACCGATTACAATTCTTAGGCGGTGAAAAATACAAATATTAAAAAAAATTGTTTTAAAAGGTTTAATAATTTACCTTGTATGCGTTCACACGTTAAAACCCAAAACTGTGATATATGAAAAATGTGTATCGATTAGATACTTCAAGTCTAATCAACTAGAAAGGGTCTAACTCTAAACATGTAATAGACTTAAGAGTTAAATCCCATATTGTGCTGGCTGGTCGCATAACTAAACCACTTGTGAATGAAAACTACCTCCCCACCCCTCTCTCGTCTGCTGTAGAAAATATAAACAAACGGAAAATGTAATCGCCGGCATGAAAGTAATCGATCTCGGCCAGGCTGCCATACCAGACGAAGGCTGGGCTGCATTTCTCTCCCCCATTCAGCAGCCTCCACTGGCGTACTCGCTCACTCGACGTGTGTACCAGTTGTTTGGGCCAGCGTCAACACAGCGTGGATATACCACCGTTTACAGAGTGAAATATTTCAAACGGATTCTTTTACTTTGATCTGTGTGTCGTGAGTGTGTAACCCCGTGTCGTGAGTGTGTTACCCCGTGTCGCGCGTGAACACACTCACTTGTTGACAGTGTTTCTTGTATTGGGGAGTTCCACACGTAAGGCTTAAGTCGGGTGTTTTGAAAAGTATAGGTGTGTTTCATTGGCTAGTCTGTACATTTGACTATATTATTTTTATAGCTCGTATAGTACTATAGATTATAGATCTGTTTTTATTGTTACGATTCCAGTTATCATGGTAGACTTTTTAGACGAACTTGTGCCAGTTCTCTAGTAGTTCAATATGTTTTAAATGTTCAAACGTTTTATTGTATCTTGTAGCCCAACATGTTTGTGATTTGGTTAGTTTCGTGATAGTTGAGTAAAGTACAATAATCAATAAATAGATGAAGTTGTAAGCTCGTCTTTAAGTTGTTGGAACACTGAGCAAACACAAAACACTCGCACTTAGTTGTCATATTGTACATGCACACACTTAAGGAGTTAATTTTGTTTGTATTGTTCATCAGCTGCAAGATCCTCTTGGTTAGTGGGAACACTGTTATTTCTATTTTTCACTCTGATGCTCCCTACTTTTTCACCCCCCCTCCTCTACATGTTCTCTCACATCCAGCTCTTCTCGCTATCTCCTCTTCCTCTCATAACCTTCTCCCTCCCACCAGCTTTCCTCGTAGTCCTCTCCCACCCCACCCCACTCTCCTCCTCACCCACCCTTCTCCCAACCCCACTATCTTTCCTCTCTCTCTTAGTCCACTCCCACCCGACCCCTCCACTCCCTCCTTATCTGCCCATGTCCCCTCCTCTCCCACCTCCCCCTCCCCAGTGTGCCACCACCAGCTGCTCCCCTGTGCTGGGTGCCAGAGACAGATGGTGACCCGGCCACTTGTGCTGCTCATGTGGTCACTGCCGGTCTATCGATCTGTGTGCTCACACATTCTCTCACTTCCACCCGCCTCACACAACTGATGACCAGTTCTGACACAACCGCTGACCAGTTCTCATACAATTCCTGACCAGTTCTGACACAACCGCTGACCAGTTCTGACACAACCGCTGACCAGTTCTGACACAACCGCTGACCAGTTCTCATACAATTCCTGACCAGTTCTGACACAACCGCTGACCAGTTCTGACACAACCGCTGACCAGTTCTGACACAACCGCTGACCAGTTCTGACACAACCGCTGACCAGTTCTGACACAACCGCTGACCAGTTCTGACACAACAGCTGACCATCTACGTCACGCATATTTATCCCACAGTCAAATATAGCTGCAATAGTTTGACCCTATAACTACTTCAAACCTCGCGACCTGTCCACCTAAAATATGTGGCTGTCCAAAAATCAATAGATGACTTTAGGGCTCACGTTGACCTGGATAACTCACCAGGGACTGTCAAGGCCTGCTCAGATGGACACTGGTGTGATAAAAGGTCGACTGACCAGGGCCACACTTGATTTATTGACGCTAACCTCACAGCTAGCCCCAGTCAGACGGAGCTTAAGAATATTAACCTGAATGTGAGCACCAGCTCATGTTGATAGCAGCGACCGCCGTGTAAGAGAAGAACAACTGTATTTAATGTTAGCACTACCCACCCATCTGACGTACAAGTTGAGCCTTAATATGAATATTTAATGAGAAATCTTTCCTCCACGGCATATCACAATACATCATCATTGTCCATTGACTATAGACCCCATTGATTCTTTATTTTAGATACATATCAGCGCTTGGGATCCTTGCGCCATATATTATGCTTCTAGTGAAAAAAGCATTTGCTCCTTAGGGAATGTGAATACAATTACTGAAGTTTGAGAACAGTGAATCCCTCTATTTGGTGTGGAGAAATGGGAAACTAATGAAAACGTCGTCCAGGGTTGTGTAAGCCGTTATGGTGAAGTCAAACAGTTGACATCCTTAACGTTTTCTGTCTTGTGTCTTACGGTTATTGCCGTACGGTGCACATTTTATTGTCAAACGAGGCCAGAAAATTAGCAGTAACAAGAATGTATGGCCCACTGGCAGTCGCTGGGGAGTCAGTCTGGCTGCCTAGGCGTAGTTCTGTTGTTCTACTCGGAGTCCACTTATTATGTAGCCCACTGACTGGGGAGAGCTGACTAGCTGCTGGGACTTGGTTTAGTGCCTAATGGTTCTACATGGAGTTGCCAATGTCAGTCACTGGGGAGCCTATGAGAGCTGTCTGGATGCTGGAACACGCTTGTTGTGGTTCTACTCGGAGATCTGTTATTATTTATAGCCCTGTTGATGATGTTTGATCTGTTTGTTATCTATCGATCCCGTGTTGTACATGGACGTAATGGCGGCATTAATGATTCAGCTACTGGCAGGAAACAGAACGCAGACATCAGTTTATGGGGTGCAAACCTCGACTGTGGATTGTTGGAGCCTTCACAAGTGTGACGTCGCACGTGGATGGACGTCACAAGATAGATGGACGTCTCTCAAGGTGAATGGACGTCACAAGGTGGATGGACGTCACAAGGTGGATGGACGTCACAAGGTGGATGGACGTCACAAGGTGGATGGACGTCACAGGGTGGATGGACGTCACAAGGTGGATGGACGTCACAAGGTGGTTTGACGTCACAAGGTAGATGGACGTCACAGGGTAGATGGACGTCACAAGGTGGATGGACGTCGCACGGTGGATGGACGTCACACGGTGGATGGACGTCACAGGGTGGGTGGACGTCACAGGGTGGATGGACGTCACAAGGTGGATGGACGTCACAAGGTGGTTTGACGTCACAAGGTAGATGGACGTCACAGGGTAGATGGACGTCACAAGGTGGATGGACGTCACACGGTGGATGGACGTCACAAGGTGGGTGGACGTCACAGGGTGGATGGACGTCATAAGGTGGATGGACGTCATAAGGTGGATGGACGTCACACGGTGGATGGACGTCACACGGTGGATGGACGTCACAAGGTGGATGGACGTCACACGGTGGATGGACGTCACAAGGAGGATGGACGTCACAAGGTGGATTGATGTCACACGGTGGATGGACATCACACGGTGGATGGACGTCACAAGGTGGATGGACGTCACAAGGTGGATGGACGTCACCCATCAGTATGTGAACGGCAGCTACATACGGCATACATGTGTGATACGTGATACGCTGGTTGACATCCTTGACATGGACGTGACTGTTGGCTTTAACGTGACCCCTATCTGTAGCGTGACCCCTATCTGTAGCGTGACCCCTATCTGTAGCGTGACCCCTATCTGTAGCGTGACCCCTATCTGTAGCGTGACCCCTATCTCTAGCGTGACACCTATCTCTAGCGTGACACCTATCTCTAGCGTGACACCTATCTCTGGCGTGACACCTATCTCTGGCGTGACACCTATCTCTGGCGTGACACCTATCTCTGGCGTGACACCTATCTCTGGCGTGACACCTATCTCTGGCGTGACACCTATCTCTGGCGTGACACCTATCTCTGGCGTGACACCTATCTCTGGCGTGACACCTATCTCTGGCGTGACACCTATCTCTGGCGTGACACCTATCTCTGGCGTGACACCTATCTCTGGCGTGACACCTATCTCTGGCGTGACACCTATCTCTGGCGTGACACCTATCTCTGGCGTGACACCTATCTCTGGCGTGACACCTATCTCTGGCGTGACACCTATCTCTGGCGTGACACCTATCTCTGGCGTGACACCTATCTCTGGCGTGACACCTATCTCTGGCGTGACACCTATCTCTGGCGTGACACCTATCTCTGGCGTGACACCTATCTCTGGCGTGACACCTATCTCTGGCGTGACACCTATCTCTGGCGTGACACCTATCTCTGGCGTGACACCTATCTCTGGCGTGACACCTATCTCTGGCGTGACACCTATCTCTGGCGTGACACCTATCTCTGGCGTGACACCTATCTCTGGCGTGACACCTATCTCTGGCGTGACACCTATCTCTGGCGTGACACCTATCTCTGGCGTGACACCTATCTCTGGCGTGACACCTATCTCTGGCGTGACACCTATCTCTGGCGTGACACCTATCTCTGGCGTGACACCTATCTGTAGCGTGACACCTATCTGTAGCGTGACACCTATCTGTAGCGTGACACCTATCTCTAGCGTGACACCTATCTCTAGCGTGACACCTATCTGTAGCGTGACACCTATCTGTAGCGTGACACCTATCTGTAGCGTGACACCTATCTCTAGCGTGACACCTATCTCTAGCGTGACACCTATCTGTAGCGTGACACCTATCTGTAGCGTGACAGGTTGATGCAGGATCACCTGTCTGAAAGGACCTTTTAACAACTTAGCGATCCTTTCCACACATTTGTAAACTAAAAGTTTCAAGTTTGACATTCTGGCTTTGATTGGTTAATTGTGATGTTAGTTGGGCTTTCTGTGGTTAATTGTGATATCAGTTGGGCTTTCTGTGGTTAATTGTGATATCAGTTGGGCTTTCTGTGGTTAATTGTGATGTCAGTTGGGCTTTCTGTGGTTAATTGTGATATCAGTTGGGCTTTCTGTGGTTAATTGTGATATCATTTGGGCTCTCTGTGGTTTATTGTGATATCATTTGGGCTCTCTGTGGTTTATTGTGATGTCAGTTGGGCTTTCCCTAGTCAGTGATATCCCTTTGATATATTCTTCCTTTGTTAGGTTAATTGTGATGTCTGGTTGACTTTCTAACCTTCTATACAAATGCTTAGTGTATGTCATTCTAATGAATCCATGGTACTGTGCTGGGTCTAAGCTCTCAATGTTTTTTGGTCCTTCTTGCAGTTAGTGTTGCTTGGAACTAATAATTCTCAGCTTACAATTTTTAACTAAAGCCATTGTGACAAAGGTTCCATTTCTATCAACCGAGACTTACGAGTGCCCTGTTCTCATTGACTCGCCGCGCTTAATTCCCCACTTCACCCCAGCTCTGGTCGGCGAGAGAGGTCACGCTTTTGGTCATTAATTTCAACACCGGACACTCGAGCAACAAAGGCGTGACTGATTGATTTGATCACAATTTCTACCCTCCCCTGGGGCACGCCCCATGGCCAACTCCCATGGGTGAGCGAATCATCCCTCCACCCCTAACGATGAGAGGCGGGGTCCTAGAGCCGCTGGAGCCCGTGGACAGGGACAACCACATGTCCCTACAGGCGGTCATTGTCAAAAACGGGAAAATATTCATCGACAGCATCGACCCGCTGGACGATGGCGCTAACGACGAGAATAAAAGGATGGAAGAAGAGATAGATCGTCTTACAGGAGGGGACGACGACGACTTTATCGACAACAGCAAGTTTTCCCAGGAGGCGTTTGATTACTTTATGCGTGCTAATGATAATGAGGACGATATAATGATCTACAACCAGCTGAAGCCGGACAAGGAGGGAAACAACAGGAGCAACGGTCAAGCGGAATTCCAACACGACCACCGGCACCACTTTGAACAGTACGACTTTCACCCTCAGCATTACCACGAAGGAAGCGACGGGTCCAGTTTTCTTCCCGAAGTTCTCGACGACTTTTCTGGCAATCACGTGACTCAGCAAGGGAAAGGGAACTCTGGCAACGATAAGGGCAGTAACCATGTGTATCTGCGGCACGGGTCACCGGTCAGTATATTACACGACATTCGGCAGCTGGCCAACTATTGTTATAGCGGCCAAGAGAAAGACTACCCCGACCCTGACGGTGACCACCCCAAGGACACGAGCAGGGGAGGTCACCGGTACCGTGACAGTTTAAACCTGGAGGAGTACTCCACCTTTGATGATGACGTGGACAGGCTGCTGAGCGAGGACATGGACGCCTCGTGGCGTTACGTCCCCTTGTACCCTGAACATTATTATGGGTAAGTGCTTTTTCTTTGGGTTGTGCTTCTTGCTGGTCGCATCTCGCGGGGACTAAACAATGGGATCTTTTAAAGGGGGAGTGACTGAAGGTGGGATTTGTTGAAGGGGAAATGACTGAAGATGGGATTTGTTGAAGGGGAAATGACTGAAGATGGGATTTGTTGAAGGGGAAATGACTGAAGGTGGGATTTGTTGAAGGGGAAATGACTGAAGGTGGGATTTTTGTGGTGAAAGTGAGATGTGTAAGGAGGTGGTCTATGTTTAGAGGGAAAATAAAGGTATAGTAGTTTTGACCAGTGAATCATAGTATCCCAAAGTACATGTCCTCATTGCTACAGAGTCGAGAGAAGAAAATGTGGTAAAAATACAGACGGAAATAAAGGTGGTAAAATACAGACCGAAATAAAGGTGGTAAAAATACAGACTGAAATAAAGGTGGTAAAAATACAGACTGAAATAAAGGTGGTAAAAATACAGACTGAAATAAAGGTGGTAAAAACAGACTGAAATAAAGGTGGTAAAATACAGACTGAAATAAAGGTGGTAAAAAACAGACTGAAATAAAGGTGGTAAAAATACAGACCGAAGTAAAGGTGGTAAAAACAGACCGAAATAAAGGCGGTAAAAAACAGACTGAAATAAAGGTGGTAAAAATACAGACCGAAGTAAAGGTGGTAAAAACAGACCGAAATAAAGGTGGTCTAATGTGTTTAACCACCTGGCCTATAACAGCGCCATCCACCAACGAGAGCAGGCAAATTAGGGAATGTTTACACCGGAAGGGGTGGGCAGGGTACTGTGTAAACAATGGCTAGCACCACTTCCCTGCTGGGTAGCTTGATGTCTCATGCCCAGGTTGACTTAAACAACTTTTTTTTTGAGCGGGCAGACCTTGCATTGTTTATAGAAATAACGTTTTCCTACCGTAGAATATAACTTGAGAACCATTGCGACCAATCTAAAGTTTTATCTCATTTAAAGGTCACACGTTTTATAGCGAAAGTTATTCAATTGTTTAATTCACTCAACCTTGGGCCTTGTAATGTTAATAATTTATATAGTGGTAGTTTTTTTTTCGAAATAACTGGTGTTGATTACAAGTAAAATATAGAATTTGGTGAGAAAAAGAAACAAAAATTAACTTGGAAAAATACATGTGTATATAATATACAGGCAGCAGAAAGATAGATATCATAATAAATATATATATAATATCTATCTAAATATTAAGAGCCAAACTCCATTTTCCTTTTATTCGTAATGTATATACCATTTTGTTCTATATTTACCAAGGTATCCAGGTAAAGAAAGTTCGTGGCAAAAGCTCTTAAATTATTTCTCAAGTCAGTTCATTAAGTGGCTAATTCATATAGACATGTTTAGAAAAACAAAATTTTAAAACTGTTGTGAATATTTGAACATTAAAGATGAACAATCAGGTATAAGACTTTTTTGGGACAAAGACAGATTTAAAAGTAATGTTAATGATTCTTAAAGCTACGCAGAGTACATAAGTTAATTAATTTTCCTTGATAGTTCGCTTAAAACAGATGCACGATTTTTTCTCTCTGCCTAAATACTAGCGTTTCAGTTCAGATCAAACCATTGTGTTTGCTGGTTAAATAGTTGTGTGTTTTACTGCGTGTATTTTCTTATTGAATTTAACGTGTGTACTCCCTGACCCTCATCCCCAACAGTTCACTCGCGTCTCCTCCATGTTGGTGACCACTGGACACTGTGTTCGCCAGGGAAATATCGCCAACCTACGAACGCTGAAAACGTCTGTAGCGTGTTGAGGCCCATCTGGCTAATGAAAGTGGATGACTAGATTGATTTCATGGACCAATTACGGTGTCCCTATAATCTGTGCCCTCGATTTGATATGCTTGTCTCCATCGCTGTTTTTATTACCATTTGAAAAAAAATACCAATTACGGTGTTCATATAATTTGTGCCCTCGTCTTTGATATGCTTGTCTCCATCGCTGTTTTTATTACCATTTGAAAAAAAAATGTGTTCCTACCATAAAAACTTCATATTGATCTCACCTGTCTCCTGCTAGTCTTCACCAGGTTACTTACTCTCCAATCTGCCTTAGCCTATGTTGTTAGTCGGCTTAAACAGCGGTGTTTATTTGAGTGTTTCTTGGTTTGTTTTGTTCTGGGCGTAAAGTGGTTGGAGAAATATTGCCAAGCTTCTAACGAAAAGACGGCTGGTGGTTGTACAGCCCCCCCCCCCTTTAACCTCTAGTTCCAGTGTTATACGGGTGGGGTGGGGTGTAGTTGTACACCATCCCGTTAACCTCTAGTTCCAGTGTTACAAGCGTGGGGTGGGGGTGTAGTTGTACACCATCCCTTTAACCTCTATATACGGGTGGGGTGGGATGTAGTTGTATAGCCCCCTTTAACCTCTAGTTCCAGTGCTATTCGGGTGGGGTGGGGGTGTAGTTGTGCAGCACCCCTTTAACCTCTAGTTCCAGTGTTATACGGGTGGGGTGGGGGTGTAGTTGTACACCATCCCGTTAACCTAGTTCCAGTGTTATACGGGTGGGGTGGGGGTGTAGTTGTACACCATCCCTTTAACCTCTATATACGGGTGGGGTGGGATGTTGTTGTACAGCACCACTTTAACCTCTAGTTCCAGTGTTACAAGCTTGGGGTGGGGGGTGTTGTTGTCCAGCCCCTTAAACCTCTAGTTCCAGTGTTACAAGCGTGGGGTGGGGAGTGTGGCTGTACACCATCCCTTAAACCTCTAGTTCCAGTGTTACAAGCGTGGGGAGTGGTGGCGCGTATTTTCTCATTATCGGCTCATCCGGGTTACGCGAAAAGAAAAACCCGATTCCTAAAATAAATAAATGCAAGTGAGGAAGAAAATAGTTCCGGGAGCCTCCTTCAAATAACAATGGTTATCTGCCCCATCACGCACTGGTGGGGGGGGCTAGCATTGTGGGGAGATAATACTTGAGGTGCACAGACAAGTGGTCGTCCCCTCTTGTACAGCTATTTGTAGATCTGAGACAAAAACAGCGTGTGTATTTGCATGAGCCTTGTAATATATAACTAATCTATATATAACATCTGTTTTTGGGTTTGAAGCCATTGGAGTGTTTTGTTGGCATGAATTCATAATCGTTTTATACTTTTAAAAGTTAATTAAAAAGAAAAACCGTTAAGTTATGCCACCCTGACTAGATCAAAAGACAATGTAAATGAACTGGTCTCAAACGACACAGTACCGTTAGAAGATGAAAGAACAGGTAGCTTGTCCCGACATCTCACAATACACGTGCGCACAGGTGCACCTCGCGTGAGTACAGTGACAAACTCGAATGTCAGCCATGTTTGTCTTCGTGTATGTTGGCCGGGAGATATTTTTGGCAGCCATATGCCGCTGATTAGGCCAGGATAATGTAAGGATACAAGATTTGTTGTGCTGATTGTTTACATCTTGCTTGACGCCGCCACTTCATTCATTCTTTGATCAGCGCTTGGTGACTCTAGACGTGGGACCTACTGTTGAGTGACGTCAACATTCTCCAGCCTTTAAAAGCGCTGTGGATGTGTGTGGGGTGCCGTGGTGTTATGTGTGTGGTGTGATGTGTGTGGTGTGATGTTTTGTGTGTGGTGTGCTATGTGTGGTTATAGGGCTAGTTTTCGGTTGCCGGTTTATGTAGGTACAATTGATAACACGTGAATATAGCATAAAAAAAGTACACATTAAAAATACTTTGGAGAGGTTCTACATTATTTTTGTCGTTCTGTTAGATTAAGCCCAAATATGTCCCTAGCAAGACGTCGCTAGACACGACTGTATTTAACATAGGAACTATGTAGGATCACACAAACTTCCAACACATTGTTTCCAGCAAGACGAAACATTGCGTGAATGGTCTATCGGAACAACTACTTGAGATGTAAATGACAGGGCAACATAGGAAGGGCGTGGACAGACACACTGATGTTAGATAGGTGAATAACAGACTATGTTGGGTTAGGAAACACACACACACAAGCAAACAAACAAACAATTACTTCAAGGTGGTTGAAACTTCTGTGACACCGGAAACGCTTTAAAGCAGTTTTGAAATTCACTCTAAGATCTACAACCTTCAGAAAGGGCTGGAAGAAGTGGGGTGTGGGAATTGGAGGGGTGTGAACGGGAGGGGTGTTAGTGATGGAAAGTGGGGTTACGTAGGGGAAGTGATTTTTAAACGAACCTCGTGTTCAATTTAGCTTTTTCTGTTAATGGGTGCGTGGGTAGCTTTCTTTTTCAAGTGCAGGGGGGGGGGTATTTTGTCAGTATCTAGGTCAAGGCCAAGAAATGCAAATTGGCGCGTAATTTTTTTTTCTTGGCGAGGCCATGGAATAAAGAGATGCAATTTGACGCGCGCTTAGGAGGATTACGTTTTCTCAATTAGTGACATCTCCCGTGTTAGATGGAGGCAGTGACATCTAAAGGATGGGGCTAGGGTTTGTGACATCTAAAGGATGGGCCTAGTGTTAGCTAGGGCTTGTGACATCTAAAGGATGGGCCTAGTGTTAGCTAGGGCTTGTGACATCTAAAGGACGGGCCTAGTGTTTGTGACATCTAAAGGACGGGCCTAGGGCTTGTGACATCTAAAGGACGGGCCTAGTGTTAGCTAGGGCTTGTGACATCTAAAGGACGGGCCTAGTGTTAGCTAGGGTTTGTGACATCTAAAGGATGGGCCTAGTGTTAGCTAGGGCTTGTGACATCTAAAGGACGGGCCTAGTGTTAGCTAGGGTTTGTGACATCTAAAGGATGGGCCTAGGGCTTGTGACATCTAAAGGACGGGCCTAGTGTTAGCTAGGGCTTGTGACATCTAAAGGACGGGCCTAGTGTTAGCTAGGGCTTGTGACATCTAAAGGATGGGCCTAGTGTTAGCTAGGGTTTGTGACATCTAAAGGATGGGCCTAGGGCTTGTGACATCTAAAGGACGGGCCTAGTGTTAGCTAGGGCGTGTGACATCTAAAGGACGGGCCTAGTGTTAGCTAGGGCTTGTGACATCTAAAGGACGGGCCTAGTGTTAGCTAGGGCTTGTGACATCTAAAGGATGGGCCTAGTGTTAGCTAGGGTTTGTGACATCTAAAGGATGGGCCTAGTGTTAGCTAGGGCTTGTGACATCTAAAGGATGGGCCTAGTGTTAGCTAGGGCTTGTGACATCTAAAGGATTGGCCTAGTGTTAGCTAGGGCTTGTGACATCCATAAGAAGGGTACCGTGAAGGTTAGAAACCTCCGAATAAAAGTTGCACCAATAAATTGTTTTATGAAGCTCCAGCGAACAAGAACAGTTGGGAGGAGCAGGAGTAGCACACTACCTCCCCTCATCCCCAAATTAGACTTTCTGTCCCCCCCCCCTCTTTCTCCAGTATTCGCAAGTACATTTCATTCTGAATACACTACGTACAACTGCGCTATGTAGAGCTTGCATATTTTGACCCTTGTAAGTGTGCAGGGGTCAAAGTATACAACCTTGACAAGTGCTGAAGATTGGCAGCTATTGATATGACTCGTGCTTAATGTATTGATTCCTCTGTGGTCTATTGGCTAGAGATCGATAACGGGTCACATCATGGTGCTGGACATAATAACTGCTAGACCATTGTGTGGGACTCGATAACTTGTATAAATATACGAGCTGACCAGCGACGTAGCATACGCCGCTATTTAATTGTTTTATTTCCTATTTTACAGTAATTCATAATTTGTGAATTCGACACTACCAATGCTGCGGCTGAGAATATTTTGCATTAAAACACTACCAGTAGTTAGTTAAGGACGGTTATCCACATCCTCACTTTCCACTCACCCCCCCCCCCCCCCCCCCCCGTGAAAGCAGCCGTCCGTGACGACAAATTACAAACGACAATAAAAGATCAAGCAGAACTACCTCCCCTTATTTGCAAATAATTTAAAAACTAAATTATCTGCCTTTAATATGCAGTAAGCAGGGAGCTAACCCACCTCAGTCAACATGAACAACGTTGTAGTTAACCTAATATGCAGTAAGCGGGGAGCTAACCCACCACAGCCAACATGAACAACGCTATAGTTAACCTAATATGCAGTAAGCGGGGAGCTAACCCACCACAGCCAACATGAACAACGCTGTAGTTAACCTAACATACAGTAAGCAGGGAGCTAACCCACCACAGCCAACATGAACAACGCTGTAGTTAACCTAACATACAGTAAGCGGGGAGCTAACCCACTACAGCCAACATGAACAACGCTGTAGTTAACCTAACATACAGTAAGCAGGGAGCTAACCCACCTCAGCCAACATGAACAACGCTGTAGTTAACCTAACATACAGTAAGCAGGGAGCTAACCCACCTCAGCCAACATGAACAACGCTGTAGTTAACATACAGTAAGCGGGGAGCTAACCCACCACAGCCAACATGAACAACGCTAAAGTTAACCTAACATACAGTAAGCAGGGAGCTAACCCACCACAGTCAACATGAACAACGTTGTAGTTAACCTAATATGCAGTAAGCGGGGAGCTAACCCATCTCAGCCAACATGAACAACGTTGTAGTTAACCTAATATGCAGTAAGCGGTGAGCTAACCCACCACAGCCAACATGAACAACGTTGTTGTTAACCTAACATACAGTAAGCAGGGAGCTAACCCACCTCAGCCAACATGAACAACGCTGTAGTTAACATACAGTAAGCGGGGAGCTAACCCACCACAGCCAACATGAACAACGCTATAGTTAACCTAACATACAGTAAGCAGGGAGCTAACCCACCTCAACCAACATGAACAACGCTAAAGTTAACCTAACATACAGTAAGCAGGGAGCTAACCCACCACAGCCAACATGAACAACGTTGTAGTTAACATACAGTAAGCAGGGAGCTAACCCACCACAGCCAACATGAACAACGCTATAGTTAACCTAACATACAGTAAGCAGGGAGCTAACCCACCACAGCCAACATGAACAACGTTGTAGTTAACCTAATATGCAGTAAGCGGGGAGCTAACCCACCACAGCCAACATGAACAACGCTATAGTTAACCTAACATACAGTAAGCAGGGAGCTAACCCACCTCAACCAACATGAACAACGTTGTAGTTAACCTAACATACAGTAAGCAGGGAGCTAACCCACCACAGTCAACATGAACAAGGTTGTAGTTAACATACAGTAAGCAGGGAGCTAACCCACCTCAGCCAACATGAACAACGCTATAGTTAACCTAACATGCAGCGTGTGGTGTAAATCGGGAACTTGATGAGCCTTCAAGATGCGGGTATCGTGTTTTAATTGATGGCCTTTTGTCGCTGGCCCCACATTAGGGCCTCTCTATCACATTCGTCATGTAATCAAGCCATCAGTTTATTGAAATCTCCATTTAGATTAGGTTAAAGTCTCCTCCAACATATACAAGGTAATTAAGATCTCCCTATGATCAAGATATATCCTCCAACTTAAAAAAAAAGTAATTGAAATCTCCCTTTGATCGAGATAATGTCTCCCCCAACTTTGAAGGACGCATGGACAGCCCTGGGTTGTTGCTGCTCTTGTGGGACCTGGTGGTGTGTTGCATGACTGCACACATTTACCTAACTTAATTATCATTAGCTTTTCCATCAACGCTAGGTTTCATATCAACTGACCGGCTTTCTGAATGGTTCCATCAACTGACCGGCTTTCTGAATGTTCTATCAACTGACCGGCTTTCTGAATGTTCTAACAACTGACCGGCTTTCTGAATGTTCTAACAACTGACCGGCTTTCTGAATGTTCTATCAACTGACCGGCTTTCTGAATGTTCTATCAACTGACCGGCTTTCTGAATGTTCTATCAACTGACCGGCTTTCTGAATGTTCTAACAACTGACCGGCTTTCTGAATGTTCTAACAACTGACCGGCTTTCTGAATGTTCTAACAACTGACCGGCTTTCTGAATGTTCTATCAACTGACCGCCTTTCTGAATGTTCTATCAACTGACCGGCTTTCTGAATGTTCTATCAACTGCTAGTGCGGTCCGATCAATAATGTGACCGTTCAAGCCAGACAGCACTTATCGATATGAAAACATGACACGAGGGCTGTACTACCCACGTGTTGATGCAGACACGAATGTAAACAGACCTGCTGGTAGAGCTTACGGTGGGATAGACAAAGTTTAGACGTGGGCCATTCTAACACGTAGGCCGAGTGTTATGTAGCACATGGATCTAGTCCTTGCAACACGTAGAATCAGTAGAAAGCCCCAATGTGTTTGCCCTGAAGTCAGTAGAAAGCCCCAATGTATTTGCCCTGAAGTCAGTAGAAAGCCCCAATGTATTTGCCCTGAAGTCAGTAGAAAGCCCCAATACGTTTGCCCTAAAGTCAGTAGAAAGCCCTAATGTGTTTGCCCTGAAGTCAGTAGAAAGCCCCAATACGTTTGCCCTAAAGTCAGTAAAAAGCCCTAATGTGTGTGTGTCCCCGACATAAAACCTACAGGGTAACAACGACGAGTTTCTGACATTTGGGATCAACGCTTCCAAATTTTGGCGTGTGGCCATCTTATGGAGAAAGTGGGATCAATAAATATATATTATAGATGCTCAACAAAATATCTTGAAAGCTAGAAATGGAATCGATACCAACAGCTTAGAGGATCAACCTACTGACGCTAGAGCTGATAGGAAGATTCTCGAATTTCAAATTTGTTTTATGATGGGAATAAACAGGCCCAACTTTCTCGCGTGAAAATTTAGAAACATCGGTAGTTAGCAGGCAAAAGTTAAAACGAATACTGTTCCTTTGTCTCATTAACATTTGTCTGGACACCTCTGTGTGAGGGCTACCCTGTTTGTAGTCAACCCTGTGTGAGGCCAACCCTGTGTGAGGCCAACCCTGTGTGAGGCCAACCCTGTGTGAGGCCAACCCTGTGTGAGGCCAACCCTGTGTAAGGCCAACCCTGTGTAAGGCCAACCCTGTGTGAGGCCAACCCTGTGTGAGGCCAACCCTGTGTGAGGCCAACCCTGTGTGAGGCCAACCCTGTGTGAGGCCAACCCTGTGTGAGGCCAACCCTGTGTGAGGCCAACCCTGTGTGAGGCCAACCTTGTCTGAGGCCAACCTTGTCTGAGGCCAACCCTGGGTGAGGCCAACCCTGTGTGAGGCCAACCCTGTGTGAGGCCAACCCTGTGTGTGGTCAACCCCTGGGTGTGGTCAACCCTGTGTGAGGCCAACCCAACCCTGTGTGAGACCAACCCAACCCTGTGTGACACCAGGCCAACCCTGTGTGAGGCCAACCCTGTGTGAGGCCAACCCCTGTGTGAGGCCAACCCTGTGTGAGGCCAACCCTGTGTGAGGCCAACCCAGTGTGAGACCAACCCAACCCTGTGTGAGACCAACCCAACCCTGTGTGAGACCAACCCAACCCTGTGTGAGACCAACCCAACCCTGTGTGAGGCCAACCCTGTGTGAGGCCAACCCAACCCTGTGTGAGACCAACCCAACCCTGTGTGAGACCAACCCAACCCTGTGTGAGGCCAACCCTGTGTGAGGCCAACCCTGGGATGCCCCCATCCCCACCCCCGTGTAACTAGTTCTAACGTTCTCTTTTGTTGCCCCACCCCTCAGCTCTGGCCAGGAAGTCCAACGTGTCAGCGTCATCACAGACTTGCCCAACTTGCTCAGAGACAACAACGCAGAATGCATGAGACGTGTGGTGCCCAAGGTCAGGGTGAGTACACACGTTTGTTCCGTGCTGTGGAATATCATACGACGGTAACACAACATATCAAGACAGACAACCAGGTAATATCATACGACGGTAACATATCAAGACAGACACCCAGGTAACCAAACAAAGCAAGACACCACGATTGTAAAACAAAACACAAACAACGGTATACATTCACACAAAGGTAACCAAACACCCAGTATATTATCCTCACTGCCATTAAAGATCACAACCTCACTCTTTGCCCATCCCCTATCTAACCCGGTATTCCCCGTCGCCTGCACAATTATCTCCACAATTTCTTTTTTTTTGTCATTTCCACTTCCCAGGCCTAGCTCAAGCGTTTTAAAATGCGTATGTAAGCTCTTACATCACCCCCCCATGTCCCTCCCGATAGAGCCACTAGACCCCCCTCCCCTCTTCGCCCGTGTCCCTCACGATAGACCCCCTAGAACCCCCACCCCCTCTACACCCTATCCCTACCGATACAGCCACAAGACTTCTGCCGTTAATGAAGCTTACAAAAAAAATTCTCTGAGAAAAAAACATTATTTTCACTTCCCTTAATTTTATTCCTCGTTTATTAAACAAGGTACGTTTACAATGGGCTTTTGTTAAAATATGCCATCTTGAAACGTATAGATAATTATGGTTTGGGCAGGTTATGTGATAATTTAACTCGAGATGTATGAGCATGTTGATTGTTGGGAGATATTCCCTCCCACATGTAGCGATAAATTATGACCTGCCCACCTACCTACGTTACAGCAGATGTCTTGGCACGTGCTGCACATTGGTAGATTGACGAAACAACGCCAATGAGTTAAACATCACATCATAAAAAAATGTTCAGCTAAATACAAATACATGGGTTGTTTATTAATATACCAGCCCCCTCCCCTCGTGGTATTGTACTTCTGCCTCTATATGTAATAAAGCTGTTGTATCTAACTAAAAATCTTATGAATAAGCTGAGTGCATTTTACATGTAAAACATTGGTAGCTAATGTATGCCGTCGATTTCAATAAGCTTTAAAGAGCTGATTGAGGCGAATGAAGGAATCCTCCCCCCCCCCCCCCTTCCCGTACCTGTTTTACGTGCCCGAATTACTCCCGCTAGTCTCGTGTTATTAGGGGCGGGGGTTACCTGTTGGTAGACCCGTGTTATTGGGGGCGGGGGTTACCTACAGGGGGCCTGCTGGTATAGCATCAGTAGCTGTAAACAAATGGGGAGATGAATCGCTGTAAAGGGGGTTGATGTGAAACCTGAGTTATTTGTCCTGGGCCAGATAAACGGTCGAGGATGATTTTAATGGAAGTCGGTGCAAGCGGGGATCAAAACAATGATAGTAAATCAGCAATCGTAGACTGGGAGGTGTGACATGTGATTTACAACAATCTTAGACTGGGAGGTGTGACATGTGATTTACAACAATCTTAGACTGGGAGGTTTGACCTTTGATTTACAGCAATCTTAGACTGGGAGGTGTGACATGTGATTTACAGCAATCGTAGACTGGGAGGTTTGACATGTGATTTACAGCAATCTTAGACTGGGAGGTGTGACCTTTGATTAACAGCAATCTTAGACTGGGAGGTGTGACAAGCCATAACACGTAAATGGCCCCATTTTAAACATTGAGGTTCTAATGACATAAATAATGCCCTAGTTTAAACATTGAGGTTCTAATGACATAAATAATGCCCAAGTTAAAACATTGAGGTTCTAATGACATAAATAATGCCCAGTTTAAACATTGAGGTTCTAATGACATAAATAATGCCCAAGTTAAAACATTGAGGTTCTAATGACATAAATAATGCCCAAGTTTAAACATTGAGGTTCTAATGACATAAATAATGCTCAAGTTAAAACATTGAGGTTCTAATGACATAAATAATGCCCAGTTTAAACATTGAGGTTCTAATGACATAAATAATGACCAAGTTAAAACATTGAGGCTCTAATGACATAAATAATGCCCAAGTTAAAACATTGAGGTTCTAATGACATAAATAATGCCCAAGTTAAAACACGTAGATGTTCCTGTGACATTGATATGGCCAAGCTAATACATTTCTGCCACAGACCTAAGACCCTCTACCTGTTGAAGTTTCTATTACACTGGTGTAAAGTACAAAAGATGCAGCGCCAAAAACGTGGGTTATATTTAGACGGTTTGCCTTGCTGAGTTGTTAGCTAATATTCGGTGATGTGGACTAGTGGGGAGGGTGTCGGGGTAGTGGGGAGGGTGTCGGGGTAGTGGGGAGGGTGTCAGGGTAGTGGGGAGGGTCTCGGGGTAGTGGGGAGGGTCTCGGGGTAGTGGGGAGGGTGTCGGGGTAATGGGGAAGATCGGGGGTAGTGGGGAGGGTGTCGGGGTAATGGGGAAGATCGGGGGTAGTGGGGAGGGTGTCGGGGTAGTGGGGAGGGTGTCGGGGTAGTGGGGAGGGTGTCAGGGTAGTGGGGAGGGTCTCGGGGTAGTGGGGAGGGTCTCGGGGTAGTGGGGAGGGTGTCGGGATAATGGGGAAGATCGGGGGTAGTGGGGAGGGTGTCGGGGTAATGGGGAAGATCGGGGGTAGTGGGGAGGGTGTCGGGGTAGTGGGGAGGGTGTCAGGGTACTGGGGAGGGTCTCGGGGTAGTGGGGAGGGTCTCAGGGTAGTGGGGAGGGTGTCGGGGTAGTGGGGAGGGTGTCGGGGTAGTGGGGAGGGTGTCGGGATAGTGGGGAGGGTCCCGGGATAGTGGGGAGGGTCCCGGGATAGTGGGTAGGGTCCCGGGATAGTGGGTAGGGTCCCGGGATAGTGGGTAGGGTCCCGGGATAGTTGGTAGGGTCCGTGGTAGTGGCGACTAGTGGGGAGGGTACAGTGGTAGTATAAAGGATCCCAAAAGAAAACAAGCTGCGACTGCAAAAAAAAAAAAAACAGTTCTATTTTGCGGCACTCTAAAAATATTTAAACAAACATCAGCCGCGTGGCTTTGCTATTAAAATGTTTTCCATTGGAAAGTTTTAATTAACGGTCGTGCACAGCGGTTCTCAAGTTATATAAGGAAACATGTTTTGAACATGGTTTTGTTTTGATCATTAGTCGCTATCCAACATTAGCGTTATGTCAGTTTGATGGTTGCCTTTACGGTCTGAGCCGTTCTTAACGCTGTTTATGTGGTAGTAGGATAGCTTTAACTATTCTGTTACAAATACGTGGTAGAAGGATAGCTTCAACTATTCTGTTACAAATACGTGGTAGAAGGATAGCTTCAACTATTCTGTTACAAATACGTGGTAGAAGGATAGCTTCAACTATTCTGTTACAAATACGTGGTAATAGGATAGCTTCAACTATTCTGTTACAAATACGCTGCATCCCGGTACAGTTGTATTCTCGAGTGATCATGTGAACAGGATAAAGTAACATGTATGTAGCAGTAACTGAGACGAGCTTGAAACCACGAGAACCACCGCTTGAGCTGGAGAAATTGTTTTCTCTAGCACTAATAGGCCTCCATGCGCGAACCGTGGCTGGCAGACGTTCAAACTTGGCGTCTCTCACCCACATCATTTGCTGCAGCTGCCATTTTACGGGGGAAACATTTTTTGCCATTGTTCATTTGATGCTCTATTGCGGTATCGGTTTGTTTTTTATCTTCAGGCTTGCTGCAATTTATCGTCCGTTTTTTTATCCTCACTAACCCAGTTTTGACAGAGAGTTTTAAAATAGGAACGCAAAATTTGTCGTTTGTCAGCTAACGTATGAAGTTTATTTTCGCTCTTGAAGCAGTTGCCTACCTTCATCCAGCATTGATTTATTTCTCGGTCTGGTGGCAGAGTTTGTGAGGTGGATACACAGCAAGCTTGCACTCCCATAGTAGTCGGTGAAGGACTTGCACAGATGGCACATCTCTCTGTAGTAAGTGCTGACCTTGCACATCTAAGTGCTGACCTTGCACATCTAAGTGCTGACCTTGCACATCTAAGTGCTGACCTTGCACATCTAAGTGCTGACCTTGCACGTCTAAGTGCTGACCTTGCACATCTAAGTGCTGACCTTGCACATCTAAGTGCTGACCTTGCACGTCTAAGTGCTGACCTTGCACATCTAAGTGCTGACCTTGCACATCTAAGTGCTGACCTTGCACCTCCTGCTGAAGTCAGCCTTGTTAAATCCTAGATGAACCTGATGCCGTGTGATGTCAGAAACCACTAGAACGAGAGCTGTATCTTCCCTCAGAACATCTCTGACACTCACCATTTCTTCACTCGGTCAGTCAGTCTTGCACTGTTTGCCTCAGATAGTGTCGATAGTGAAAATATCACAGAACACGTGGCCCATTATAACCTATTGTAATGTGAGCACATTTCCAGCAAGTAAAGGCTTTGTTCGGTTGACATTTGAGACATCTTGGTGATCTCTGTTATTTTGTTCGGGCAACATTCACGATCATTAGAGTCATTGTTTGTATGGAGTTTGACCGGGTAGTATTTCAAAGTTTGATGGTCAGCCATTGTTTACCTCAACCGTTTTCACGGGTAGGGTCTCAGTGTTTGATGTCAGCTATTCTCAGGCGATCATCTAAAGGCTGTCTCAGGCCGACACTCGACCAAGTGCTGACTCCCAGCATCTAAAGGTTGTCTCAGGCCGACACTCGACCAAGTGCTGACTCCCAGCATCTAAAGGTTGTCTCAGGCCGACACTCGACCAAATGCTGACTCCCAGCATCTAAAGGTTGTGTCAGGCCGACACTCGATCAAGTGCTGACTCCCAGCATCTAAAGGTTGTGTCAGGCCGACACTCGACCAAATGCTGACTCCCAGCATCTAAAGGTTGTGTCAGGCCGACACTCGATCAAGTGCTGACTCCCAGCATCTAAAGGTTGTGTCAGGCCGACACTCGACCAAGTGCTGACTCCCAGCATCTAAAGGTTGTCTCAGGCCGACACTCGACCAAGTGCTGACTCCCAGCATCTAAAGGTTGTGTCAGGCCGACACTCGACCAAGTGCTGACTC